ACACCATATACCACACAGGTACGCACACACACCACACACACCACACAGGTATGCACACATATGCCACACACACACCACATGCCACACACACACCACACACACAAAACACACACACCACACACACCACACAACACACACCACACAGGTACGCACACACACATGCCACACACACACAAAACACACACCATACAGACCACACACACCACACATGCAAAACACACACCACACACAAAAACAAACACCACACAGGTACACACACACACACAGGTACTCACACAAACACAAGTATGCACACATACAGGTACACACAACATGAGTACGCACACACACACCACACACACACAAAACACACACCACACATGCACACACCACACACACCACCCAAAACATACACACACACACGCACACACCACACACACAAAAGCACACCACACATACAAAACACACCACACACACAGATGCACACACCACACACCACACACACGCACACACCACACACACGCACACACCACACACCGACACACCACACACACGCACACACCACACACGCACACCACACATGCACATCACACACCACACACAGACACACCACACACAAAACACAGACACAAAATACACCACACACACAAAACACACCACACACAGGCACATACACACCACACACAATGCACACACACATGCAAGCGCACACACACACAGGCGCAGGCACAGGGGCCCCTGTCTCCTAGAGGAGGGAGGGAAAGGGGTGAGGGTAAGAAGAGAAACTAAAATCTAAGCGCTGGCTTCCTTCCGGCCTCCTGTCCTCTCCTCTGATTCCGTCCCATAGGAGAGAGGTGGGGAAAGGGAGAAAGAAACAGAGAGAGAGGTGAGGGGGGACAGAGACAGAGAGAGGTGAAGGGGAGAGAAACAGAGCGAGTGGGAGTAGGGGGTAGAGAAACAGAGGGAGAGAGGTGAGGGAGATAGGTAAGGGGGGAGACAGAGAAACGGAGAGAGAGATGGAGGAGAGGGAGAGACACACAAACAGAGAGACGGGGAGGGGGGTAGAGGTGGGAGGAGGGAGAAACAGAAAAAAACACTGAGAGAAACAGAGAGGTGAGGGGGAGGAGAGAGACAGAGGGAGAGAGGTGAGGGGGAGAGAAACAGAAAATGGGAGGTGGAGGGGAGAGAGACAGCGAAGAGAGAGAAACAGAGGGAGAGAGAGAGGTGGGGGGAGAGACAGAGGAGAGAGAGGTAAGCGGGGAGAGAGAGAAACAGAGGGAGAGAGGTTGGGGGTTGAGGGAGAGACAGAAACAGAGGGGGAGAGAGGCGGGAAGAGTGGGAGGAGAAACAGAAAAAACAGAGAGAAAATGAGAGAGAAAAGAGACAGGGTGGAGAGGGTGGGGGGGAGAGAGACAGAGACAGAGGTGGGGGAGAACTCGAGACAGAGGCGGGTGGCTGCCGGCAAGGGGAGAGGGAGA